AGATCTTTTTTGCACCTGCTCATCTCTACACGGTGAAGAGACAGTGGGACTTGGGTGAATATTATGAGGCAGATGCGAAATAGTCTGCTTTAATGTTTGAATGAATAGACTTCTGTTCACAATTATAATATTTCAGTAATCATATTAGGAGTTTCACTGCCATGACATGCCAGAAGTTAGTGGAATTTTTGCATGACCTACATAGAAATATCTTGGGATTCTGCTCACGTCTTATCATTCCATTTAAATATATATATTTTTTTACTGGCCACCTGAATTCAAACTATACCAAACTAATTACTAGTAGATAGTGTTCCGCAATTTGATTTGATTTGATCAAATATTTGATCTCAAATCAAATTCAAATACAGAAATTTCAAATCAAATCAAAATATTTGATTTGATTCGACAAATATTAGAAATATTTGATGATAGCTATTTATACAAAAAAATTTTATTAAAATAATTTTTTTTGTTTTTATGAAATTAGGAATATTTTAACTTAAAGAATATTTTTTATTTAATAAGGTAGATATATCTAATTTGATGCAGTTTCTAATTTGATGTATAATAATATCTTGTGAATTTTAATTAGAATCACATGATTTTGGTATTATTTGATTCATCTCATTGAGATGAATCAAAATCATATGATTTTGATTGATAATTCTTAGTATATTTTATTTAACCAAAATAGTCTAAGATAGATATATTTAATTTGATACAAGTAAATATTTACAATAAATATTATGTGGTGTATTAATCAAAATTGCAAGATTTTGGTATTATTTGATTTGTCTCAATAAGATAAATAAATAGTACCAAAATTTTATAATTCTGATTAATATATCATATAATATTTATTAAAAATATTTACTTATGTTAAATAAGACACTATATCAAATTAGAAACATATTTTTTAAACAATCTTTAATAAGTGATATCGTATAATTTAGTAATTAAAATTAAATAATTTGATTTAGAGTTTGGAACCGGATTTATTTTTTAAATCCGAATTTATTTAATTATAATGATAAGCATCGGATTTAATCTGGGTTTAATATATTGGTTTCTTCGGTTCAACCGGTTTATTATATCCGATTTTATGGTTAGTATAAAAAAATCATATATTACGTAGCATAGTGGACATTCAAGTAACTTCATTGTACCTTGCGATGCCTTGTTATAATTTCTTATAAAACCGATTGACCAGTTCAACTTTATAGCTTTCGTAAGTTAAGTTTTAATAAACAAAATTATTAGCTATTCAGTTTAAAATACCATAAATTTAATGTGAATATTCGTGTTGCATATCGGTATTGTCAGAATTGACTCTAAGATGATTCAAATATAAAATGCTTATATAAAAAACATATCTCCAAATTATACAATACTTACAATAATTCTTGCTAGAACTTAAGTTACTAATCATAAATTAAAACAATGCGTAAATTCAATAACTAGCAAGGCTCTAAGCTATAATCATATATTTACAATATCTATCTTAATGCTAATTAAAATAATGCATTACTTTTTACTAATCTAATATATTGATTAAGTGTACTGCCAATCGCTATATCTCTAAGCATTAAAACAAGACTTTAATCACAAGCAACATATCAATAAATTCTAGCATACAAAATTTAGCATTAGATACTATTAAATGAGCTATTATTTGCTAAAAAAAATAAAGACTTTCATTGCTCTAATGTCAAGGTGAAAATATTAGATAATATGCACTATTACATTTTACAAATAAGATATGATTTACCAAATTAGGAGACAATCTTGTTCGTTTTGATGAGATGTGATTGCTAGCATCTAAGAAAAGTCATTCACTAGGAACTGAAGTTGCAGGATTGCAAGATATTTGCAAGCCAATTGTGATAAGATAGGAAAACTTATTTTATATTTTTGCCACCATTCTAATGGATCTATTTTTTTTGGTTTATCAGGATAATTTAAATAACGTACAATCTCTTCTTCAGTTTGTTCAATATTTTCTGATCTATTATTGATCCACATTTCTGTAAATATATCATCATCTTCATTCTCAATTAAACTTGTTTCGATTGTTTTTTCTGCTTGATTTGAGATTATCATATCTTGTTTATATTGATTATATAAATTTTTCAAAAGTGATTCAGCCTGAATTTTTTGCATATAGTCAGAGCTTTTTAAAAATGGAAAATTTTTTAGCCGTGGGTTTAATATTGTTGCTAGCAAAGAGATTTCACTTGGTATTTGCCATAATTTATCTAAAGAAAGGTAAATAGCAGCACAAACTTTCTGAATAAGATTTGTAGTATCTGCTAGGGATAAATATTCAACTTTATTTGTATCTTCAATTTCATAATTTTTTTTCTTTTTTGTAATATGACTTCTTTTGTGACCACCATGATGATGACCAGATCTTTGCTTATGTTTTATTTGTTGTCTAAAACATCGATATGCATATTGCTAATGCTTTCGATTTCCAGCTATTGAAATACTATCATTATTACTTATAGAACTTGAATCACTATCTTCTTCTATTGAATCTGTTAATAGTCCATAAATTGGATCTAAATAATTATCAATTATTTCATCATTTTCAAGTTTTGGTATGAACATTTGTTTAAGTATATATATATATAGATGTATAATATTTAGTGTTAGATATTTGGTATCTGATAGTTGTCATATTATAATTTTAAAAGGTTCTAATAATTTGACTATTTCTTGAAAAAATCTAATAAAATTAATAAATATTAAGAACTTAATATTATTTTTTTAAAAAATTAATTGTATATAATATATATTACATTTTTTCTTCATGAGTTAAACACAAACATTCTAACTTTTCTCCTTCTTTTTGGGACAAAGAATCTTGCTTTGATAATAATAATGCTGAAACTAGACGCATTGAATTATGTAGCTCAAGAAGACGTCTCTATGCAATTAGAGTAGAATTCTAGCAAGTTCTAGTATCTGTTAAAATATCTAATAGGCTTGTTGATATTTCAATATTTTTATTTACAGCTTTATTATTTTGATTTGCAATATTTTTATCTTGTGCTTCACGCAATCTTTGTGCTTATTTTGGTGATCTAAAAAAATATTGTAAACTTTTAATTCTGCAATGTATATTTTTGCATTGTTTAAGCCCTCATGTACAGATAGCTGTAAAGTATGTATAGCACAAGGTTGTCTTTTAATATTAGATAAATGTTTATTAAGAACTGATATGCTTTTGATCATGTTAGCACCATTGTCGGTAGCAACAGTAAAAATCTTATTATTAAGATCCCATTGGTGTATAATCTGATATAGTTCATCACTAATAATTTGACCTATATATGGATAATCCAAATTATTACAAGTAAGTAAGACCTCATAAAATTTATAATTAGAAGTAAGCCAGGTTGCTATCACCTCAATATATCCATAATTACTTTTGGCCGTTCAAAGATCGGTAATAAAATTAATTGATATAGCTGTTTCTTTAAATAGATTATATAATTGATCTTTGCACCAAAAGTAAGCTTCGTAAATCAAATTTTTTGCTGTTTTTTTACATGGAATTTGAAAACCAGGTTCACATGCATGAAGCAATTCTTGCAAATCAGCATCTTGAAGAACATATAATGGTTATATATTTTTAATTATGAATTTAATTAAAAAATGTGAAAGTTTATATTGTCGAGCTTTGCTACATCGAGTTATTTGTAAATCATCTTGTTTTGGCTAATTTATATAATTAAAAATTATAAAATTAAATCTGATATTATATCTTAAAATTTATGTTTAGTAATATATTTATCTCATTGTTTGCATCTAAATATTTACGATAATTTTGTGCAGTAATATCATGTTTATCTCATAAATGAGTAGATATATTTGAAGTAGAACCTCCTTTCTGGCTATAAGGGTAAGGTTTTTTATTTGTACTATCCAAATTTTGCTTACATATTTCTGTATTTTGCAGTAAGCTATTTCATTATTAGCAGGATCATTGTCAAAAAAATAGGTAGTATGACTTTTGTTTGCTCTATCATGACTAATACTTTTTCCTAAATTACTTTCATGTTTTTTGTGACTAGTGGTTAAAGATTCAGCTTTAGACATTTTATTTAGTTATTAATTTTTAGCAATAGAATAGATAAACGAGAAAATAACAAATTGTTGCAAACTACCATTATCATATTTTATTAAATATAAAATAGCAAAGATAACTTTATTTTAACTTACTTTGCATAATCATATTTTATTAATCAATCGTAATTATATTTTATCAATCATAGCTATTAATCAATCAGTGATTAATCGTAGTCATATTTTGTTGAATCAATTTAATTACTTCATTTTATAGCAAAATTTATTACTTCTATATTTCTTTAAAAAAAATAATAAAGAAACTTTCGCTATAACTAGCCAAATAGAAATCATTTTAAGTCTGAAAGAAAAACTAACACAGATCAGTTCGACAAAATAGCTATTTTCGGAATATAATAATTGTTTTGATCTGATTAACCAATCAAAATCCAGGATTTGCGCACACACACACAGATATCGGGGTCACTATACTTCTACTATAATATCCTTCAGACAATAATCTAACTTTTAAAACTCGATAATTAAAACAAAATTCTGATTTGTCCTTACTAAGTTATGCAATAGTAAATAAAATAAAGTTATTACCATTATATATAATAATCTAAATTATCTTGTAATAAGGTTATTAGTACGAATTCAATCTACATAATACTAGTTTTTTGTTATGCAAGTGATTGCTACCTTGTGCGCCTATTTTGGAAGATAACAATAATAAATAAAACTAATACACTGGCGATCATAAATAATGCAACAAAAAAAAAAAATCAGTAGATCATATTATCTCACGCAATTCGGGACAGATTCCCTTTTTTTTTTAA